ATATGGCACCAGCTGATGAATATGGTTGATAAAGGGCACTTATATCTGACCTATTCCTAGCAACCTTTGGCCTTTACCCTTCCACAGAATGTGATACCTGAACATTTGAATTAGATAACGGTCCACATGCAATCAACCTCAGCTGCACAAATGCTTTGAGCACCTGTGGGGCAGTTTGCAGGGACGGTTTGGATGCTGAGCGAGATATGTGTGTGCTGCGGTTTAGCAGGTAGCGAAGAGCAGTTAAACTGTAGTGGAAACATGAGCGGAAGGCAGCCAGGCCGAATGGTCACACTGGCTCTGAAGGTCTGGGACTGCCTGCCACCAGCTCTCCCTCTCATCTCACAAACCACTCAGCTGCTGAAAAGCCCACATTTAAAAATAGATGGGCCTGATAGGCTTTGAGATGCACTATTTATCTCCCTTTCTTTGTCACATGCATGCACACCTACCCACACACTTTTTGCCTGCTAACGGTGGATTGTGCGGGGGCCATTTGGGAGGGAAACTGTTTGAAGCAAGCCAAACCCTGGTTTGTCTCAGAGATATAAAGCCCAGTGAAGCATGTCTCGATTAAAAAAAATTCTGCACGGATTCCCCCAAAATGCTCTGTGTTTTCTATCATAAAGTTGCAGTTTGAGTAGATAACCACTAGATGGACTCAAAGCTAAGTGAGAGGAACAGATGGAATAACTCAACAAAGGATGCTCGTTGAAGATGCTGAAGAAAATCTTTTTTTTTGTCCTTGAAATACTTGAAAATGATTTCAGTGCAATTATCCATTTTCCAGTCTGGGTTTTTCTTACGGGTCTAATATGAATGGTAGGCTTTGCATATAGATGGTCATTTGTCTCCACACCAAATGTGGCTTTTTTGGTTTCTTTTGTTGCTCTAGTAAGCCTCTTGTTTTAGCCTAGATTTTTGCCACAAAACAAAAGACTCAAAAGCATTTTTTTAGCTGGTTTCCAGTAAGCTTGTATTGTAAAAATGCATGTTTGACATGCTTTAGATGTGGGCCACATTTTTTCCATGCATTTTCTCGCTGTTTGAGTCAGAAGGAAATCTAGTGGTTTGCTTAGTGGTTTGATCACACGCTCATCATATCATAGAAACACATTTACATAGAAACAGACAGATCCCGTTCTGCAAGTTCAATTATCCTCTTGTCTGCAGGCACTAAAGTAAGAGAACTCTTTATGTAGCAACAGGGAGGCCACTATAGAGGACAAAAAATAAGGATGCAAAGGCTGCACTGGGAATGGGGTCAGATATCTAAAAGATAAGCAGGCAGTATTCCCAGCTGCTTAAAACTACTTTTCTTTGTGTGCCTCTTGCTAGGGAATGCATACAGGCCTTTACTGGACATTAAAGGGAAATTTCACCCAAAATTAGCAGAATGTATGCACAAATACTGTTATGAGCATTGTTTAATACAGAATTATCCTCCCTTTTACTACTTAATTCCAACCTCGAAATGTCATCGGAAAAACACTACTAGACTGACTTCTGTAGGAAACAAGATGTATTGCATTTTAATACAGATTTTCTAGTGTTTTATATATTGCATTCATCTACCTGCTGGTGTTTACTGGAGTATACAATTCAAGGTATCTTGCTAACCGGTAAAATGCCCAGCAAAATATTTGTACACATTTAAACTTGTTTGCAGATGCAACATGACTCATGAAGTGTATTGAGTAGAGTGGTGCTACAGTTACAGGAATTCCCTAGTTATTCAGGGTATTCTTTATTTACAGTCAGGCAGCATCAGTGTACAGCTTCCCAGTTTTCTGCGTGGATACACCAGTTTGACCAGAATTAGGATTTGGGAATCCTATTCAGCGTACTGTCATTTGATGGAAATGTAAATTATTCCTAATATAGTCTTCGTGAAATCGATTAATTAATTAAATTGATGCTGTATAGTCACATTCGTAATTCCAAGCCAAGGTTAGCCAAGTTTGCACAGCCATATAGAATCATTACCTGAGATATCACCTGAAGTAGTAAAATGAATCAAGTCTTCATACAGTAGGCCTATATCACATTAATCTATTTTCATTACACTGCATAGGCTGTGTAATTAGTAGGTTTATTGTGTTAGGTTGTTGCTAAATGCACTCAAAAGGTACAGTTGCCCCAAGCTAGCCTGCTAACAGTCAACGCAGATCAGGGGTGCCCAATCCTGGTCCTCAAGATCTCTACTCTGCAAAGTTTATCTCCAACCTTGATCTGACACACGTGATCCAGGAAATGAAGCACTTCTGGAGCACCTGATCATTAGGGCCAGGATTGTGCACCCCTGCTGTATATAAATCTTCTAATCAGTCATTCAATGGAGTTTGAGTTGAAATAAATATAAATGGCCAGAAGAAATAACAGGCCTTAATTATTTGCAAAAGAGGTAAGATTCTAGATTTAGTGCAGCTGAGTCACTGTATGTTTGCTTTTAATGTTATTATTACTATCTTCTGAACAGTGAAAAGGACTCATCAGCTAAGGGTGGATAAAGTTCCTAGGACAGAGCAGACCAGGCTGCATCATTGCAGCCTCATCTGTTAGGTGCTTTTTTTGTTTAAAAAAAAAGAAAAGAAAAATGTATTTTGATGCCAAAACAAACCAACCACGCACACCGACTAGTAGTTACAGACTTTAAAGGGGAATTCCCCCATTTATTTCACAATTTCTGAATAATTCAGTCCTTGAGATGTAAACAGAGTCACTGTGGTTTGACATTAAGTGGTTCATTGTAGAGAAACTTACAGACTTCTTCAGATTTCTTTGCAGTGGTGGGGATGGGAACCAACACAAATATAACCAAAACCAACAGTGAACCTTCTGGGTGTTTATATGTAATGTTTATAATGGTAAAACAGTCATAAATCTGAACAAATAAGTTTTCTATAGGGACTATTTTGCCTTACAGCACCCTACATGTACCCCTCCACCATGAATGGATTAAAGTAAATGGATTAAAATGCATTTTTAGCCAAAACTTTATCATAAAACAATGTGTCAGACATTAGGCAGTGTATATCTAACCATTTCATGTAATACATTTCTGTGAGAGAGCAGTTAGAGGCATTAAACTCTTAAGACGTGTGGTTCCTATCACCACCACTGTGAACAATTCTGACTCAGTAAGTTTCTCTAGAACGGAGCATTTCATACCAAACCACTGTGAATGATTTTGTTTACATATTTGCCATTTAATTATGTCGAAAGTTTGAAAAAAACAGTGGAGTTCCCCTTTAAGACAGAAACACATGAAATTGAGTTTCAAGCACATTTCTATTATATGAGTGCTGGTAACTACACATAATAAATAAATTTAACAACACACTGTTTTCACTTTGTTGGCATCCATGAAAGAAGTAAGGCTCCCCAACTTCCGAAATCCTGATTTACCTGCTGTATGACACTCAATGTTTAACTCAATGTGCAATATCAATGTTCATTTAGAGTGGTTAATGTTTTCTTTTAAAGATTTATTTTTAAACATTTTCTGTTATTTATCTTTTGTTGTGTTATTTTTTCTCTTATTGAGGTAAAGCACTTTGAATTGCTTTGTGTATGAAATGTGCCAAATAAATAAACTTGCTACGTCTTGCCTTGCCATTCTTCAATCTTTTTCTAAAAGTGTAATGATTAGACTGTTAACTCTAGGCCACAAATGTCTGTATTACTTTGAACATTTGAAGTGTCAACTAATCAAGTAATTTCTTATTGCATTACTAATTACTTATAATCAGCTGTATGGTTAATGTATGGTAGCCTGTTGAGTACAGCTATAAAGTAAGCCTATGTAACAAAGTCATTACTGAATGTACATTTGAGCAAACATATATTTTGGATAAATAAAACTGACATAAAGGGACAACTGCTCAACATTTTATTGAAACTTTTGCTCTATTTTAAGAAGCTGAACTAGTTTGAATGGCTGATTATTCAAATCTCAGATGAAAATTTGCAAAGAACATTGGACAAAAAGTATTGATACAGTGTATTCTGACTTCTTTCTTGCACCAATGCCAGAAATTTGAATCCCTTTTTTTCATAAATGCAGCAACACACTTCAGGTTATGCCTTGGGCCTGTACATGAATCCAGTAATAACAACTGCAGTAACACAAATCTTTAGGATAAATACAGATTTGTTTATGTACTTTCTGTAATAGCTTTCTCTTACACTCAAGTATAAGCAGAGGCACATACACTGTCACTCACTTTTAGTTACTGTTTGATTTTTCCATGCAGGTCAGGTTCTCTTAATGACTGCACCCACGCTTCTAGTCATGTATTACACATCAAACAGTCATACAGAATGCAATAAATATGCATAACATGTTTAAATTCAGACACTGATACTCTATAAGCTCTGAAGTTACAAAGATGTTTCAAAATAATTTAAATAGTTTTTTTTTCTTTACCTGTTTTACTTTTTATGTTTTTGTTGTGAAGAACTACCTTTACTTGAGTAAATCTAAACTACTTTTTTAAATCAGGGCTGCCCAAAGTGTGGCCTAGTGATACATAGTGATACTTCCCCCACACAACAGGTGTGGGCACCCCTGCTTTGAAACCTTGATGCTACCTCACTGTAAAAAAGATTTAATGTTTCAACTTAAAAGTAAGTTAACCTGGCTGCCATAAAAATAAGGCTTTATTTTATACAGCACATCATAAGTTCTATTACAGTACTATTAAAGCCTGCTGGATTGAACTGAATGTTCATAATAAACTCTTCCTTTTGTAATATAAGCTCTTCCATGTAATTTAGAGTAAAAACCTATTTAGAAGAAAAATATATCATTGCATTTAAATACCATGCCATTCCTAGGGGTCTTTATAAATCAGCGTTCTGTCTCTGCACACTCTCGGGACATGGAGCAGGTGTTTGTGTCTTCTTTCTCCTCCTCTTTTTAACCTTGCCCCTATCATGTTTCAGTCTCCTCCCTCTCCTACCTGCAGGCACACAATTTCCCAAATCAGTTCAAGAGAGTTCGGGGAAGAAAGAGGAGGAAAGTGTAGCTTGACGTAAGAAGAAATGCAGCATATAGAGGCGTCTGTGTTGTGAAAAATCCTGTAAGCATGAATGGAAAGGCAGATTAAGATTCAAATATATAGCTCTGAGTATGTTAATTAGCTGAAGTTAACAATACTTTTTGGTCTATCAAATCAAATATCTAATTTGTGTAGGTGAGACACTGGAGACCAGCATGAGGAAAGATACCCCTCTCGAGATGTCGCAGCTATGAACAATTGCCAGGTAAGGTGTTTGTCAGTGAGACTCCCCAGTGATTATCATCTAGCAAGTCATTTTGCTAATGAGATATGTGGCTCAGGTTCATCGAGTTTGGGTGTATCGTTGATTATGTGGATCCAGCGCATGCTAGAACTCTTGGAAGATATTCCTCTACTTCACTCAACATGCTTTAAATAAGTTTAAAGGATGACAAGGTGAGCTTCTATTTGACAGGTCAAATTCAGTTTAATACACTTTTGTGGTGTAATATAATTCTAAACTTAAACTTTAAGTACTTCAATGTTCTGCAGCAGACAGTTCAGTACATGGCTATCTGAAGCGTGAAGAATCTCTGTCTGTGACAAGGTAAGCATAGCAACGATGTGTAATGAGTGACATATGAGTAGTTACTTGTTTTTCCACCTTTAAACTGGCCTCATTTATGGACATGGAAGACTTTCTTGCCTTCTAGAACATTTGGTCTTTCCCAGTACATTCATCATGGCCAAAAGGGACACCTCACCCTCAGAGGGAACAGGTCTGTATGATGGAGCGTTCAGTCAAAGTGCTACAGTTTACCTTAAAAAACTGTACTTGTGGATCTCTGTGTAGGAGACAAATGTAGTGAGGTGTAGGGCATCAGCCTAAAGAGTATGATCGGACGACTACATATTAGAATATATCTATTACTTGATATGTACAATACTGTGCAAAGTCAGAAATTATTTTTTGTTTATTTAACATCCAGTTAAAACACCTATTAAGTACAAGTTAATCATTTTCAGGAAACATTTCTGATGTGATGTAAGATAATCTACTTGCATAAGGAAGGAGAAAATGAAAGGAAAAGTTTCCAAAACTGGAGTTAAAAAATATTAAAAAGAAACTGTCACCATCAGATAAGCAACACTTCTTAAACAGCTTTCATCTTTGAGAGAGAGAAGAAATTCAAGATCTTGCCTAAGATCTAAAAAAACAACTTTTTTTCTGTATATCCTTCCACTGTAAGACAACTCAATGCTATGGGTCTGAAAGGACATGTGGCTGTCAAGAAGCTGTTACCAATAAAAACAAATAGAACAGAAGAACACTTTCAAATCAAAAAAAGAAGCTGCTGATGCTCTCAGAAAACTGGACTGACCTCAACATCACTGAATGTGTTTGGGATAATTTGGATTGTGAGAAGCAGAAAATACAAACAACTTCTAACTTTACTTTGGAGGTGTGGAAAAATATCCCTGTAGGTTTCTTTAACTTTTTTCTTTAACTTTCTTTTCTGAAAGCAAGTCTCCCGGAAAGAATGGAAGCTGTAATAAAAAGAAAGCATGGACACACAAAATACCAAAAATTCTGTATAATTTTCTATTAAATATATGTTTTCTGCTTTTTTTACTAATACTAAAAATTAATAACTTAATGACCATTTTTACTGGAAATTAAAGTGGCTTTTGCACAGTACTTTGTGTATTGCTAAGAGGCTGAGACCTAGTTTATGAAAAATAAAAAGTTAAATCTAGCCTTGGACTGAGCTGTATTTTAAAAGCAGCCCTTTTTTTCCTCTCAGGTATGACTTGGGAGGTGCGTGCCAACTGCAGATACTTCCATGAGCCCCTGGGACGCAAGTCTTTCTTGTGCTTCCGCTGGGGGCGTTACGCAGTGAGTAAGAAGACCTGGTTAAAAAAAAAGGGGGTAGTAGGGGGCCTTTAAAGAAAGCTCTCAGGAATATATGGAATACTTTTAAAGGTTTTAGCATGGTGTAATCCCTTACACCTAAGACCCAAGCCTAATTTTACCTATTAAACTGTATATAGACACACATTTTAAAACCTTTCTCTAATAACTAAATAAGTGACATATTACTTTCAGAGTACCAACTGAATCATTCATAGTTACTGAATAAGAAATTGACATAGGAGCAGTTACTTTTTTCATTCATAGCTACTGAACAATAAGTCTTAATAACAGAATAATACACCTGTACTTTAAGGGGTTAAGAGCACACCCTAGACTTTTTCCTCTTGCTAACACTCCTCTATTGGATTGTGTCACCAGGACAACTTGGTTCGCAGCTATAAGTACTCTCCATTGACCTTCCTGCCCCTCACACTATATGAGCAGTTCCAGCGAGCAGCAAACTTCTTCTTCCTGCTTATTGTGGTCATGCAGGTCTGTGGTTTTATTTCCTGCTCATTTATAAAATGCTCCTATGTACAAATAGAAAAACACTGACTCAAATCAGTTGCATTAAAGAATATTGGAATAACAGTGTGTTAAAGCAGTAACCCATATGTAAAGAGTAACAGATGGCACCCAGTGCTTGAGGCTGTGTAGGGAAGGAGTTGCTTATATATATTATGGTTTTCTGCAATATTATAATTACAGATGTATTCATTATTTCACTTCCCTAGAAAGCATGTCTACGTCAGGATTTGTACATGCACTGATGAGCCAAAACATTATATTGGTCCTCTGTGTGCCCTGTGGTATCTGGCACTGAGATGTTAGCAGCAGATCCTTCAAGCCCTGTAAGTTGTGAGGCAGCAGTGGGGCAGACTTGTTGTTTAAGCACATCCCACGGATGCTCAACTGGATTGAGATCTGGGAAAATTGGAGGACAGGGCAACACCTTGAACTCTTTGTCATGTTCTTCAAACCACTCCTGAACAATGTGTAGGGTGCACTATCCTGCTGAAAGAGGCCACTGACATCTGCGAACACCACTGCCATGAAAGTACTTGTTCAACATGAATGCCCAGACCCAGGGTTTCCCAGCAGAACACTGCCCAGAACATCACGCTCTTTCCAATGGCTTGTCTTTATCCTACAGTACATCCTGGTGCCATCACTTTGCCAGGTAAACGGTGCACACATACCCAGCTGCCAACATGATGTAAAAGAAAATGGTATTCATCAGACCAGGAGACCTTTGTCCATTGCTCCAAGGTCCAGTTCCAACATTGCAGACGTTTTCAAAGGTGAACGGGGGTTAGCATGGCCACGCAGCAGGGTGGGATGCTCTGTGTTGTGACACATTCCCTCATAACCATCGTTAAAAATTTCTGTAACGTGCCAGACTAGCCCTTCTGTCAGACGGGACAGAATCATTTGCTCTTGTGCATCGATAAGCCTTGTGCTGCTGGATCATGGTTCGTCCTTCCTCGGACCACGGTCAGTAGGTACTCACCACTGCTGACCTAAAAAGCCTTGCCATTTTGAAGATGCTCCAACTTGGTTGTCTGGCCGTAACGATTTATCCCTCAGCTCAGGCCATCAAACCTGCCCATTTTCGACTGTTTGCTTACTGTGTAATATATCCCAGACCTTGACACACGCCGTTATGAGATAATTGACATTATTCACTTCATCTGTGAGTGGTCATAATGTTTTGGCTCATCACTGTAAATGTCTACATATTTGCTGATTTATTGTATCATCAAGTGCTGACACATTATCAAATGTGCTGAAAACAGCATGCAGTATATTTTACTAATACATCTGTCCTGCTAAGTTTACTTTATCACAAACAATTATAATTTAATTTAACCCAGGCAGTACATTCAGATGGTTTTTATATGAAAATGTGTTATAATTAGTAATTACACAGTCTGTGTTGTTTTGAGACTGAGAGTAGGACTGTATTCTTGAGTGTGCAGCAGTTTGCATAGCTTACTGGCATAATGTATGGTTGTTTGTCTGGCCTCCAGTGTGTTTCTGTCATTGCCACTCTTCCCTGGTACATCACCATGCTGCCACTGCTCACCGTCCTTACAGTGCGTGGGGCCAAAGACCTGGTCACAGACCTGGTGAGGAAGTAAATAATAAAGGGTGAAAAAACACTCAGATCACATTGTGAGAATATATTTTGTAGAAAAAACAAACAAACAAACAAAAAAAAACAGCATTGGCAAAAAATTACCAGAACTGTTTTTGTGAAGTGAATGAAAAATGCCATATTTTAGTATTTTAGTTATTGGTAAATTATACTGACGATAAATTTTCTTTGTAGATGACACTTCATGCACAGAATATTCAGCTGTTTTTTGTTATGTATTTCTCATTAGAAATCTTCAGTACTGGGAAAACATTAAAGCAGATAAATCCAAACTAATCAAGTCAAGTCAAATAACAGTTAGCAAAAAACAAATTCAATTTCTTTATTTTTTTACATTTTAATTTTCTCTTTTCTCAGTTAAAAACTATGCGCCTATTGCTAATGTCAAATCGTTCACTTGAATTTGATTTGTCATGTTTCTTGGCAAAACCTTAACATTTCTTGAAAAATATAACCTACCTTATGCTGACAGGGGTTAAATTAGTTATCAAATTAACATCAAGACAATGCTATAAAAAGTCAAAGCCAAAGAAAAAGAACAAAAACACTAGCTTTATGCTAGCATGTTGGCTAATTCAATAGGACAGTTCAATAATGCTTAATTTAGCTAACCTTTGAAGTTCATAAAAACTGCAGCTAAATAAATATAAATATAAAATATTCTAAACTAAAATTATGATGTCTTAATGTCATAACTTACATAAATTAACCAAATAGGTGCAAATGTAGCTGAATACATAATGACGGTGAAGTTTTGAATTCAAGTCTCATTTGGCTAACTAGCTAAGTTGACCTAGCTAACGCTAACGCTAACTAACTAGCGACGTTTTTTGCTGAACACCTAGAACATTAACGTCACAGCAGAGACAACTTACGCTGAAGAGTAACTCATGATTTATTAACGGATGTTTTATATCTTATTGTGTAAAAAAAGAACAGAAAAATGAAAGACGTCTGAATAATAAGGAGATAACAGTTAAGTTACTACAAGGTGCACTTCCTCAGGAAAAGCGTACAATTAAATATGCATTATCAATTTCAAGAATAAGCGTAACGTTGTACTGTCCAATGTTTTTTGTTCTCTGTGTTTCTCTCTACATCTCGGATGCTTTCAGGGTCGACGCCGCAGTGATGCCAAGATCAACAGAAGGCCTTGTGACATCCTAACTACAGAGGGGTTCGTGTTTTTATTTATTTATTTATTTATTTTTGCATTTGGACTTAACGAGGCTTTAGATGGCTTTCTATACGCCAGCTTTTCCGTTCCACCTTAAATGGTGTCTCGGTTACAGGCGCCAGATACACAGTCTAGGCGCCAAGTGGCATGGCTGCAACATTTAAGGTGGAACGGAAAATTCGAACGAGAACCTGGAGAATACGAAGCCAACTTAAACCTCCTGAACTGACATTGATTAGTTTTGTGTCTTAGGTAAAAATAATAATTTTTCCTACAGTTTCACAACAGCTCAGTGGAAGGATGTCTGTGTTGGAGATGTTTTGCGGATTCATAAGGACGAGGTTATACCGGTGAGCATGTGCGTATATGTCTGTGTGTCTGTGTGTGTAGAGACGGTAGTAAACGTGTTGCTCTGTTTTCCCCAGGCAGACCTGCTCCTCCTCTGCAGTACTGAACCCCACAGTCTGTGCTATGTTGAGACTGCTGATATCGATGGGTAAGAACAAGGCCAGAAAGGTTTCTTAGATGGTTGGGTTTTCTACTCGCTCCCAGATGAACTAACAGGGCAAGGAGTAACTCCCAAAAAGAATCGATTCATCAATTTCAGACATTCGAGAATCAAGTCGACTCCAAAGCTTTGGACTCGATTCCTCCTTTAGGAGCTGAGTGGTGTGTTGTCCCTAGTCGTTCAATGCATGATCCCCATTAGTTCAATCGCCCAAAAACGTGCAGAAACCAGTAGGATAGCGTGAGATGCCCAGGGGTGGAGCCAAGGTGTGGCCAGAGGTGGCAGGTACCACCTTAGCGTGAAGCTTGGCCACCTCTCTGGCTACCCCAATTAAAAAATGAGTCAGCCTGACCCTTTTTCTCTACAAATGGACAGCGCCTTCGGTGCACCGTCCTCCCCTGCTCCTGCCAGGTGAAAAAACTATTTAAGCACTGAGTTCTGTACAGTTCCATGAAGTTCGTCTGACTCTATTCTTCACTTTATTATGTAATCTGGGTCTAAAATAAAAAACAGAGAAACCAAAAGTCAAAAGTGTGAACAATCACAGAGCTGTGCAGATGCTGTAAGCAAATCATAATGAAATTAAACTGAAAAAGTAAATGTTAAAGATTAAAATGTCACTGAGTAGATGCATTTCACACCTCACAAATAAACCTGATTATAAGTAAAAGTGTTAGCATTTGAAAATACTCAGAAAAGTACAAATCCATCAAAAATGTTCTTGAGTACATGTAACAAATTAAATGTATCTAGTTACTACACACCTCTGGTTAGAATAGATTATCAATATTCACTGATGTATATGTTCTTTTTTGGTCAAAATTAAATAAAAAAATGACTTAAAAGGTATTTTTATTGTCCTCACTACACATTTGTGTATTCAGTGTACTTTAAACAGTAATTCTGAATTGTACCAAAATATTTGAATCAAATGTGGCGAAATCTGAGATTGCATGATGGATTGAATTACTTCCTAGTGTATCAGAATTTAATAAAATTGTTGTGAGGTATCCCTGCAAAATATCATTGCTAGTGGCAAAATAAATACAGAGCCAAGATAAGGTATTGTGAGAACTTACTGGACTTAGCGGGGGTTTAGCTAGCTTAGATTGAAAGTCTGAAAGAAATCAACTTTGAATCATGAACCTATTGACTTCCAAACCAGCGTTCATCGAAGTTAGATATAGTGAATCTTTTTGCCCATTTGTGTTTGTACTTCAAACCTTTTTGTTATGATTGAACAGGTGAGCTACAGTTGTCACTGAGTGGACAGCGAAGGCCTGACTTTTATATCCTGCTTGTTGCAAGCTTAGTTTTGTTGATTGTTTGCAGAGAAACAAACCTGAAGTTTCGCCAGGCCCTGAACATCACCCACGCTGAACTGACCAGTGGTCGAACAGAGGAGCTTCTTGTGCCGTTTGATGGTTAGAGCAGTGTTTTCTCTCAGTGAGAAGACATGATGTTGCCCTGCGCTGTGACTGTCCTGCCACTGCAGATTATGCAAAGCTGATGTCTAATAAGCAAAGCTGTTCCCTACCAGCTCTGTCTTTCTCTCTCTTGCTTTCTCAGTTTTTCCATCTCTCTCTCTGACTTTGCCTCTAACTCTTTCTTTCTCACCCACTTCCTTTTCTCCTCTTTCTGTCTGCCCTATCTGTCTGTCTCTCTCTGCCTTTATATTAACACTCATACATATGCATTTACATGGATATTAACATGGCATTGACTTGAATACTAGCTATCTCTCTCTCTTTCTCTCTCTCTTTCTCTCTCTCTCTCTCTCTCTCTCTCTCTCTCTCTCTCTCTCTCTCTCTCTCAGGAGTTGTGTGGTGTGAGGAGCCGAATGGTCATCTGTACTCATTCAGGGGAGAGCTACACTGGAGAGGACAGTGCCATCTACTGGACACAGAGTACATGCTGCTCAGGGGAACAGTCCTGCGCAACACTGACACTGTGTATGGACTGGCCATATACACAGGTATACATCCCTTCTTTAAAACTCTCAGTAAAACAAGAAGGTATTGATACTCACATGCCTTCTCTATGAGCATAGGCATACACCTACATTTAAAGGTTTGGAATTATATTAATATTTTATATAGAATAATAGCTTTATGATTTAGTGTGTGATATAGATCATATATATATATATATATATATATATATATATATATATATATATATATACATACACATATATATATATATATATATATATATATTACATTGACTTGTGCCACATTCTTTGGACAGCAACAATATATATATATATATATATATATATATATATATATATATATATATATATATATATATTGTTGCTGTCCAAAGAATGTGGCACAAGTCAATGTAAAGAGATTTAATTTCAAGTGATGTTGAATGTGTAGAAGTTAGCATTTCTATTGGTCCATTCATCATGAAATGCAGCATGAAAAAAATTACGACAGTGTAAAGAGCAGCTGATATTTTAATTTATTTGGTTTTGTATTTTAAACTGGTAAATATAAATATATATAAAGCATACAAAGTTTCAGTTTCAGTTTTTATTTATTTATTTATTTATTTTTGCAGCTTTCACATTTTGCATAGATTCATTTTACACATTTATCTCCACATTGTCTTTTATGTAATTGAAAACGTTGATAACAAACGTTTAGATGGTAGTGTATTAATCAGAATGAAAAAAATGATTCAAGAGGATAAAACATTCTCTTCAACTGTACGTCAGGCTCAGACAGCAAAATCCTCAGGAACTGTGGCAGTTTGAAAGTAAAGAAGACTCGGGTGGAGAGATTCCTTAACAAAGTGGTGGTGACGGTAAGAAACGACTGAAGCTTAATTGTCACTGTTGCACTTGTGCTCTGCAAAAGCTACTAATCATGCAACAAGTTTTATGCCAGTGACAGGTCTAAACCGGACATTACTGATGAAAGCGATAAACAGTGTGCAGCATTATATATAGCAAACAGGATATTATGCATGGCAGTTGTGGCCTGTTGAAACAGGTTTAAGTGCAAGATGTGCTGTTCTGTGCCATTTCTTTTAGATTGTTCTCTCCTTGCTGATAGTTGCTCTTCTCTTGGCTGTGGGATGTGGCCTGTTTGAGCATTTGGTTTCCCCAAATATTGAGGTTCTATCTGCCATAAGGGGCAGCGCCACTGCTGCATATCGGGGCTTCCTGACCTTCTGGGGCTACATCATCTTGCTAAGCCCTGCCATGCCCATATCCCTCTACATCACGTAATACCACTCAGTACACATGAACTGATTTTGCCACTAAAATTCTAGTTCAGTGTGTCTAGTTCTAGTTAAAGAAATTGTGCAGCAAAAAATCTTTTTTACCCCAAATGTAGTTGATCAGCCAGGACGTGTGGTGTCCAGAGCTTATGCCTCACCAATTAGCATAATGCAAACTGCATGAATCTTCAGCGTATGTAGTTGCCTCAAACCATGTCAAGTTGTTAAGTAATCTGAAACTTGCTTATATGGTTACTCACACTGTATGACGTACTGTTATCTATATTTGCGTTGCCTAGGCCTAAACAGTAGTAGTAGCCATCTTGAAGCCTGAATTTTATATGTGCTTTTTTCATTTGGATAACAGTATTAAATATTAAAAAACCTATAAGCAAGTATGTTTAATACTACCTGGTGGGGAATAAGCTTCAATTGCTTGTTAAATACATTAGCCTTGTAGCTCCAGTGCAAAACTCAAGAAGCGGACCAACCACGCTGAGGCTAATTGACTACATAAGGTTAAAGTGAAAACTTGTTTAAATGTAAATTTTGTATTTAACTTGTGGACTTATGATGCTTTACTTTCCCAAGGTTTGAGCTGGTTCATGTGGTGCACTGCCTCCTGATTGGCTGGGACATTGAGATGTACTGGGAGGAGAATGACAGGCCTGCTCAGGCCCGCACCACCTCTCTCAATGAGGAGCTTGGGCAGGTGGGCCATCTGCTGAGCGACAAGACAGGAACACTCACTCAGAACCGCCTACTCTTTCGCCAGTGCTGCATTGCTGGGCAAATTTACGGTCAGTCTGCAACTCTTCCCGGTATCACGGTATAAATTGTCTACTTCTGACCTCAGTTACTGGCAACCTTGTGGTCATTCCCTTGCAAGAGTGCATCTGAGTAATTGAAGATGATGCAGATTTTTCCCCTTTACAGTGGACTTAAATGCAGGGTAGACGCAGGTTGGCTCTATTGGCCAAATATGTTTAAAATACAGGAAGACAAGGAATTATTCTTCAATTACATAGTAACTCACAGGAGACTTTGCAATCACATAGACATCCATTCTTTTATCCTTTTATGCATACACCTAGTAGCCAAACAACGAATATCATAGTATAATTAAAAATTACTGACAGTTTCAATACATTTCCAGATACATATATTTTAATGAAACCCTTATATACAAGTGTTTTTGTTGATTAATAGTGGCTTATCATTCTGGGATGTCAATTCACTTTTTAGTGAGAACAATATTTAACAACCCAACCTGAAATATTTTTATTGTGCAAAATAGTAAAAACAAAATTGAACAATAGATAGCTAAACTTTATGTCAGTGTTGCTTTCTGGCAAAAACGGTGCTAAACATTGAGTTATGTCTGATTTGTACTCGTCTTTGGATTTTTATATGTGATTTGTTGTTGACCTTGTTTAATTTCTTTCAGGGGATATGACAGCAAAATCAAAGGTAATGCCAACATTTTGTAATTGAAATGTCAGTTTGTATGACCATGCAGCGCTCACCCATCTACTCTCATCTGTAGCCGCTGGACCTGAGCTGGAACCGTTTCTCCTGTGGTGGACTTTGCTTCTCTGACCAGCGGCTGGTGGAACGGCTGCGGAAGCGGTCCTGCCCTGAGAGCCGAGAGTTCTTTACTGCACTGGCACTGTGCCACACTGTCATGAGCGAGTGGAAAGACGGTCAGTGGCCCCTAGTTACAGCTCAAAACAGAAGAAATAATGAGGGTAGCTATGCGGCAAGTTAAAGACAGAAGTCATGGCTACAGCAACATTAGACGGACATAAATTCACACAACGGACATAAATTCACACAACAATTTTCAACAGTAGGAAGATATTCAGGATAAACCTACATATACTCTTGTTAAAACGTTTGTAGTCACTTGTCATATTTATAAAATTACACACTGTATAATTGTTTTCCAACAAGTATTTATGGAATTAGGAAATATAAATTTATTAAAATTTTTTGACGCTTATAAGGCATTGTCAGTCATTTCAGAGTCATCTACAGCTCTGTTCATCATTCTGGACACAACTAAACGTCTTGTTTTTTTACAGTTTCCTAGTTTCCACAAAATGTAAACTTTAAACAGTACTAAAATCATATTAGAATTTTATACACTGTTGTTGAATCAAAAATTGAACATGTTGATTCCAAACTTTTGAACAATAGTGAAGGGTGTTGGTAATATATGCATACTTGTGAATTACATACCCAAGCACTGGAGCAAGAAATAAAGAAGCTGTGTGTAGAATATATGGCAATGTAGTGAACGTGTGTTTTGATCAGGGTTGCCGCGATATCAGGCTGCATCTCCAGATGAAGAGGCTCTAGTTTGTGCAGCTCGAGAGCTGGGCTGGGTCTTTCTCTCCCGCACACGTGACTCTTTGACAGTCAGTGAACTGGGATTTACGCGCCACTACCACCTGCTGGCCCTGTTGGACTTCAGTAGCAAGCGGAGGCGCATGTCTGTGCTGGGTGAGAGACCTGTCTTTCATCGAGGTCCCTGATAAATATGGGCCAATATGGCTCCCAACAGAGCACTGGATTGGTCTGAGTATTAATGATATAAAAGTGCATCAGTTTATCATGATGTATCAATCTGCAAATGATTTTGGAATGTTAAAATCTGTTTTTATTGTCTTTATTCTGCTACTGTGTAATTAGTTCTTCCAGACACATTTATGTATTCAGTGTATTGAATCAGACCAAAATAATTAAATCAAGTTGTCATGAAATTTAAGTTTTCATGATGTGTTAAACAGTTTCTTCTGAATTTAATCAAAATGCTGTGAGGCCAGAGATTAACATTACGTTAAAAAGAAACTCTTTGGTTTCTTGCAAACTGCATGAGTTTGTATGTTTAATTTACACTTTAATTTGTCAAACTCATAACCACATAACTTGCATTTATTGCATAGTAGTTACCAAATAAGTCATAACCGTCATGGAGTAATAACTCTTAATGGTAAGACTAGGGTTTAAGTGGTTAAAATATTTTGTGAATGTACTTGTTTGTCTGTAGTGAGAACACCAGAGGGAGAGCTGAAGCTGTACTGCAAAGGTGCAGACATTGTCATTCTCGAGCGGCTGAGAAAGGATAGTCTGCATCAGGAGAGCACAGAGCAGGCTTTGGAGGTCAGCGCAGTTCATTCCGGTTACAGTTTTGGGTCAGCTTTTGAGTTCATCAAGGCTTCTTTACTTCCCGACTTTCTTTCCGACCCTGCGACTTATGTGTGTCAAAAACATTTCTGAAGTGAAGCCTTGCAATGTTGCTTTTGGCCTCTATTTTGCTTTACCACAACCCAGTACAAAATGGGGTTAGCTTGTGGTTGTTTCACTGTGCGTGTGTGTGTGGGCAGGTTTTTGCACAGAATTGTCTGAGGACGCTGTGTGTGGCTGTTCGTCGTGTGTCTGAGGCTCAGTGGACAGAGTGGAGCCACGCCCTCAGCCAGGCTGCCACAGCAACTGTTCACCGAGAGACCATGCTGGAGGAGCTGCATGAACACATGGAAAAAGAGCTAACGGTACAGGAGAGTAGAGCCATCATTGGCTGTTATGTTGTTGGCTTTCATTTACTATTTGTTATTTCAGTGGTTCTAAACCCTGTCCTTGTATTCCCCATGCTTTACATATTTTAGTGGTTTCCCTGCTTGGACACATCCACTTCAACTCAAGAAGGGCTTGTTAATTAGCCAATTAGTAGTAACCCTGGTCCTGGAGTAGTTTATTAGTATAATATAGAACAGGGGTACTCCTTTCCGTTCTTTGAGGGCTGCAGTCCAGCTCAGTTCAGTGATGTTCTTGTTCTAACATACCTACTAAACTTGTTCAAACTCAATAACTAAACTGCTGTTACCAATGGATGGAATATTTTAACTATAATCCTAGGATTGTGTTTGTTATAAATCTTAAAATGTGTAATTCAGTATCCACTATGAAATATTCATTAACTACTATGAAGTTTTATTTAATTTGGATTAGATTTACCTGGTGAGGAACCATGATTTCTGCTGAGACCTGTAATCTAAATCCAGTATGGTAAAATATGCATTGTCTGACAACAGTAATTCTGGTCTGACAATGTTTAATTTGCTGTATTTGGAGCTCCCTCAGTAAGAGCAATTACGTCTGAAACAACCTCATGGTAATGTAATAAAAATACCTGGTAAAAGACATGAGCATGTTATTACTGAGAGTCATGCCTGTTGCGTATAGCTGACCAGTGCATCTAGGCTGATACTTTATCTTCATCAATCATCAATTATCTTGAGCCTGACAGACCCCTTACAAATGACATTAGAGAAGCTCCTCTGGTAATTTTGACGTTTTTGCCTCTGTCCAATCAGACTAACAACACAAATTCATTGTGAATGGACCAATAGAAATGCTTCCAAACTAATAGAAAAAAAATGTCATTACATTGATGTACATTGAAAGTAAAGAATGTTCTTGCCTTCTCCCATAAATTTACCACTTTGGAGTTACTTGTTTCTGGGACAGTGATATGTAAGTTATGTAATTATGAAATTGAGGAGGTGTAAGCCTGCATATAGACCCTTAAGGTTTAGGGTTAATACGGCTGGTGTGTTTTCCAGATGCTAGGTGTGACGGCCATCGAGGATCGTCTGCAGGAAGGCGTTCCTGAGACTATCTCCAGCCTCCGACGAGCAGGGGTGAAGGTGTGGGTGCTAACTGGAGATAAGACAGGTACTGCGCTCCCTCTGTGGACCACCAGTCACAGCATAGCATAGCTTACAGAAGTGATGGAGAAATGCCTGACTGTTTCCTTTCTGTCCAAATGCATAGAAACGGCTGTGAATGTGGGTTATGCCTGCAAGTTGATGGATCCAGATACAAGACTGCTCCAAGGCGAGGAGCTGAGGTCAGACAAATACTTTCATGCATATATGTACACATTTGTGTCTATTTATAAGAAATTTAATTGTTTGCTTGCAAGTGTTCAGTGTTTGTTATTAATGTGTTTGTTATTAATGTGCTTCTTTGCTCGGCTCTGCTCTGTTTGTAGGTGATGCTTTGTAAAGTGGCACTGAGCAGTTTTCAAAACTGTGCTATATGTATATATTGATATATTACATATGTGTATAAGATATTTTGTTGTTATTATTGTTATTAATCAACCAGTGCAGCTGTGGAGTAATTGTTAATATCACGTTCAGACAGCTTCTCCAGTCTCCCACTCCAGATGTGTGTTTCCATAAGGATAAAGAGTCTCTTATTTGGAGCACAGATAAAAGTGGTAAAGCCGCCATTGTCGTTGGTGGATTTGAGCTTGTGAGTATTTCATTTTGTGATTACATCCATAAAAACTTGGCAATTTATGTTTAAGAGCATAACATAACACAGGTGGTGTTACCAAGTACTTTCTGGACTATGGAATCAGTAGCTTGTCTGAAGGAAAAGTTAAGTTGCATGGCTTGTGATAACTTGTTTACAATATTACTTTATGTCCGGATCAAACCATCAGCTGATGTCTTTACAGGCAGAACTGATCAAGACACCTGAGATGGGTGCCAGGTTTGTGTCTCTGTCCAATCAGTGCCAGTCGGTGCTGTGTTGCCGAGTGACCCCAGGACAGAAGGCAGAGGTGGTCGAGTTGGTCAAGAAGTATTCTTCCTCTATCACCATGGCGATAGGAGATGGTGCCAATGATGTGAATATGATTAAGAGTAAGGATGGGAGAGGGACTCATGAGTAACATTATACTACACAGAAGTTGCTCCTTTGTAGCTGTCGTAAGAAAATCATGTAACTATTTTTTTACTTTCATCATTTGAAAATTCTGGGCTGTAAATGTTTCGTGATGAATGGATCTATAGAAAATTTGGAAAGCAAATCTATTGCTTGTTTATATATATATATATATATATATATATATATATATATATATATGTATATATATATAACATTTGTTTTTCTTTATTTATTTTTTTGATATCATTAATGGATTGTTTTTCCTTCTCAGATAAAGTTTCTTACAAAAGTGATGATTTTCTAATGGGATTACTGTTGATATTACATCTATATAGATATTCTCAAATACTAACCTAATAATCCAGTAATTAATAGTAGTTCAACATTATCACACATAGTGACTCAAATCCTGAACAGTGTCTTTCTCTCTGTCTCTCTCTCTCTCTCTCTCTGTCTCTCTCTCTCTGTGTCTCTCTCTCGCACACGCTCTCTCCCTACATGTCATTGCAGCGGCACATATAGGGGTGGGCTTATGCGGTGTGGAGGGTGGTCAAGCAGTACAGAATGCAGACTTTGCTCTGGCCCAGTTTAGCTTCCTGCGCAGGCTGCTGCTGGTCCACGGCCGCTGGTCTTACCGCCGCATCTGCAGCTTTCTGCGCTACTTCCTCTATAAAACCTCCTGCTTTGCTTTGGTGCACATCTGGTACAGCTTGTACAATGGCTTTAGTGCCCAGGTAAACCCACAGGTTCCTCACAGCTGCCCTTCTCTACAAAAAACGCATTTTGCCACAATTACTGTTTATTTGCCAAATTTAATATACAATATATTTAATTCTTTTCCAATATGTTCTCTGTAGAGGATGCGTTATGTTCACTTAGAAATTCAACATAGCGTAATTTTACCAGGGGTGTTCAGTTCAAACTTTTACATATGACTGTATATGTGAATATAAAGAAAAAAATCAGGTGTTCTCATTTGAAGAAATTTTGATGATTTTTTTTTTTTTTTTGCGTTGCAAATATGAGGCCTTACCTAGCAGCAATGTTTGGAATAAACCATGTGTTTTCTTACTTGTACATTATTTTGATTTCCACTCAGCCGATGTACGAGAGCTGGTTTATTGCCCTCTATACCACCACGTATACCTCCCTGCCTGTTCAGTGCCTTGGCTTTTTCGAACAGGTGAGTAAAAAAAGTAGTTTATCTGAAAAGGTGATTTCCATACTGTTGTCTGATTTACATGAAAATGCATTCTGGCACAGGATATGAGTGCTGAGAGCTCTCTTCGCTGGCCAGAGGCCTACTCAGCTGGACAGAGGAATGAGTTTTTAAACCCTTTAATCCTGCTTGCCACACTGCTCTACTCCATCTACACCTCCATCATCCTTTTCTTCTTACCCATGGGAGTCCTCCAGTACTCAGATGTGGACTATCAGACTTTGGCTGTTACTGTGGAAATGTCAGCTATATTCTCAGTAACTCTTGAGGTATCTTTGTTCACAGACTTAATTTAATTTAATTTAATTAAAATAGTCACTGTAGTTCAGTTAAACTGTTGTCCTCAGCAATTTTGCCAGAAATATATGGTTATTTTGAACATGTTGATGTTAATTCTGGATTCTGCTTACATCTCCCAGATTATTTTAGAGACCAAGTTCTGGACCAAGTATAATTTTGCCACAGTGCTTCTCAGCCAGGTGTTGTTCTTTCTGTCCACCGTGATTCTTCATAGCCCTCGTCTGTTCACGGCTTTCCCTCACGACTACGTCTTCTTTGGTATCTTCTTCCTTATCCATAAGATCAGATTTTCCATCCATTCTTTGTTTTCTTGGTAAATCCATTCGTGCAGCATTATAAGAATGTCCAAATCAAAAAGGGTAATTTTGCAGTTTAGACAGAAATTACATAGTAAACAATGCCAGCCCTGAATTGTTGCCACTTCTGTTAGTTTTATAGATTCACAATTGCTCATCAGTTGCATACTGAATGTTTCTGCTAGTCTACTGTTATTAAGCAGAGTAAGATGGTATGTTGTTTTTTGTTTTTTTTCACAGGAGCATCACTAAATGCCTTTGCCAACCCTGTGGTGTGGCTTGTTGTGTTTCTGACCACCTGCACTGCTGTCCTCCCCTCCATTACAGTGCGAGCCCTAAATGTGGTGCTAACAAACCCCAACAAACACAAGGTGAGAACCCAATTCATAAACGTTGTGACAACAGGAAACACACTGCCTTTAAAAAGTTTGGAATCACTTGTCATATTAAATCCTTTTACAGTAGCCATAACATGTGATTTCCAATTGTTTTGAACTATGCGTTTTTTTTCTTCAGTAATCTTGATGGAATATATTTTGATAGAAATGTGTATGATTTACAGAAATGGTAGCAAGATGGAATTTCGTGTTGCTAGGTTGTTGCTATGGTATTCCAGGTGGTGGATATGGTATTGCACTTCGTTGCAAGGCTGTAAGGCCATTTCTGTGGTATCTTTTATGGCATTGCTTTGCAATGGGCTATCAGTAATTATACATTTATCTGCAAATAGATCTGCCGATTGGTTTTACATTATTGAAAAGACTGATCCCAAACTTTTGAACAGTTGTGTGTTTCTGGCATAACCTGTGACAGGCAATACACAGCTGAGTGTTTTTAGTGTTGCACATTATATTATGCTTTTAATCCACACTGTTTAGATCCATTCGTCAGAGGAGCCAGTTGCACTGCAGTCATGGTTCAGGAGAGGTGTGCCTCAACGTCGCTCATCCTACGCAATGTCCCAAGGAAAAGGCTTTGGAAAACTAATGACTTTGGGAACTGGGCCCCTTTCTACAGCGCCCCCTCTGGATGGGAAGGTAGCAAAGGACACAGTAAGGGCAGACTCTCCACAAATAGCACAAGCAGAAGCTGCTAATGGTGTGACGTCCGATGAAAATAAATCTGGGAACGTTCAGCATGGCGTTACCTTGAAAAGGACAGAATAGACTTATGGAAATCTTAGTCTGGTGGTTACAGACTTAAAAAAGCACTCTTGAATTTTCAGTTCCTGTTTGACTGTGCAATTTGGACCACTTGCAACAGCTCATCTGACATAGCAATGTAAAATTCTAGGTCTACTTATGGCAGTGTGCTCATTTTGTGCACTTCATGCTATCACTCATATGAGCTAAAGTATGGCTGAAGAAACTTAAATACCCCAGCAACTGTGTACCAGCAAAAAGAGAAGTATTTAACTGAATGAAAAGCATACATCATAAGTACTCTGAAGTGCTCAAAATGTTTGCACAAAGTTGGCTATGTTGCTAAAATTACTTGCGCTCCACACAAAAAATTATTCATATATGTGGACCCAGGTACAGATATTTTTCTTTTGCTGAAGAAATGGACTGCACATGATTTAGAATCATGTTGATAAATCCATGGTTCCTGCAGATCCTTAAAAGGTTTTAAAAAGTTAGATTTATTAAGTTATAGTCATAAATGTGACTTTTTTTTTTTACTATTAGAGGTATTAAATTCTAAGATTATGCTTTAAGTTTGAATTTAAAAAGTCAAAATGCTTCAGAATAGTCTTCCAACCAAAAATATCGATCCAATATCTGGATGATAAGAAAGTCAAACACACTGAAAAGACAGTTTGAGGAAAAGAGAGAGCAGTTAGTGGAGCTACAGAGGGAAATTGAGAAGAGGACTATTGAGCTACACGTCATGCATTTACTGTATCTCGAAGCATACATCATTGTTTAATATTCAAACAATTGATTTGAATAAAACATAAACATAAAGCCATTAAAACAGTGGAAGTGGTATTATTTTTTCTTAATTTAAGTCTTAAAAAGATATGAAAAAGAACTGAATTAGATTTTATAAATCGTTTAGCAACCCTGTAAATGAAATATTTTAATACTGATAAGGTAGCAACCCAAAGATAGGCTGTAGGACCACAAAAAGTTTGACAAAGTTTGAAATTTTCAAATGCATTTTACATAATAGATTAAACTTTTCCTGCTTTGCCTTTTCAGTTTTTCATGAGTGAACTTTCCACAGAAAGAAAATGCAGTCTATGTAGTAACATCTTTACAACTGATTTTATACAATTGATTTTATTCAGTCATTTACAAACACGCAATTTACCCATATTTCCTTTTTTAAGTTTTATTCTGTAACAGTTATTACTCCAGTTTTTCCTCTTCCTCAAGAGTCTCCGTTAGCTCTAAACAAAAGGGTCCTCCACATTCTCTCTGGCTCCCCCTGTAGGATAGGAGGTGGAAAGAGGCTCTCAAATCACATGTTTAATGTTAGGCCTGCTGTTATCGCTACAGAGCAGTCTCAGCACTGCTGTTGTGCACTAATGGCTTTGTGAGATTCACCAATCTATTATATAATCTTTGGTTAAGGAGATGTGCTGTAATAGCATGTGTTGTCTTTCCTCTGCTCGTGACTTCTACATCACTGCTGATTCTGATTTAAAAAAGCATAAAGGGGTTATATGCTAAACCTTGTTTATATATGTTTCTGGTCACCCTGGGTGACTGGAGTAGAGTGGATGGAGGCCTTGCTGTGTGGGAAGAGTTCAAATTTTTGGTAATCAGGACATTTTTGCATAGATCTCTTTACGACGACAACCAGCCTCAGCAACTCTTTGGTACTTAGTGTAGATGTTGTGGTGTCAGCAGAGAATTGACTGTTATCTTGCTCTGTGAGCATTAGCTACTGACTATTGGAAACTGACTACACGCTTAAAAATAAAGGCCCCTAATTTGTTCTTGGCTTGGATATACACTTTGCCAAAAAGGGTTCTTTGCACAATGCAATAAAAGAATCACTCTTAGTATAAAGCACTTCCACATAATGTAAAGGTTCTGGGAAAAACCTTTAAACGGTTATACTTTTACATTATGTGAAGGTTCTTTAATGCTTTAAAAGGCTTCAAACACTCACAAATCTCACTATGTTTTTCTATGGCATTTCTCAAATATCCCTTTTTTAACAGTGTGTGGTTTTTTAAACTTCAGTAAGATTCACTTGTACATCTCATTTACAAAGATAGTTCTTTAAAGAATCATCCATTGAGCGGTTCTTTAAGGACCAAATGTGGTTCTTCTGCAGCATCACTCAAAAAAACGCTTTTTTTAAGAGCGTGCAGTTCTTGGAAAAAGGACGTTGGGATAGAACCTTCATTCTCTGGAGATTTTTAAACTTTAAAATGTTCTTTACTTGCACATCTCATTTAAAGAACTATCTATTGTAAGGTTCTGAAGAGAACCAAACTTGGCTCCTCTATGACATCACTCAAAGAAACTTTTTTGGCACCATTTTTAAGATTATATGAGCAGGTGAATCAGATGTTTTGGTAAGAAAAGCAGTCTTTGCAACTACAGAGTTTAAAGCATTAAAACATTTAGAGAGAGTTTTTGTAATTTTGCTCAGCTGGTGAAATGTAGCAGTTTTGGGTGAGTGAGGTTTTGTTTTACAGCTCATATTTTGCAAACGAAAGTACAATTTGAAAAGTAATTAAAACACATTCTTGAGGAGATTTAATCTTCTAAAATGTGGAATCTTTGAGAGCCTCTTTCCTCCACTTACAATTCTCCTCCTCCCAGCCTGTCCCCTCCATCTTTCTTCCTAGTTTTGAAACTGATTGTCTTCTACCATCACAAAAGACACTTGGTTCTTGATTGATTGACAGGTTCGAGAAGAGGGAGACCACAGTGTGACTGGGGGCTCTGTCTACGATCAGGCCTGGAGAGAAACAAACACACTGCTTTGTAGATGAAAGAGCATTTCTGGTTGGAGGGGTCCGTCGCCAAGGACTGTCGCTATAGTGCTGAAGTTTTGCATGAATTGCTTTGCAACCCAAATCGAGAGAGTGCCACATGTGAACACGCACAGACCAGTGGTTACATCAGAGATGATGATGAGACACATATACACAGGGATGATGGCCTCAACTAAGCTTAGCCCCCATGAGAATATCATCATACTCCACTGCAAAGATTCCTACATGTAAAAGAAAGGGGGGAGGGGGTTGCAACAATACATGCACACAACCAGTGGAAAAACAACAGTGACTCTAGAAAGTCTAGAAAACTCTAGAAACAAAGACCCCTCCAACATCCAAATCCCGACCACCCCCACCCTCAACCAAAATCCCAACCCTTCCCATCCCAGCCTCTTTATCCTCCTCCTCTTCCTCCAAAGTGCAGGTCGTTCCTGCGTTAGTCTATACAGTATACAACATCCATGCAGAAAAAAAGGTCATGCTGCCATCTAAACGGATGGAGCTCGTTTTTTTCTTTAGCGTTTAACTTAATGGGGCACTTGAACACCACTGGGAGTTTTTAGGGGAAAAAAGTAGTCAAAAGGAAGAAAAAAAGAAAAGGAATGCATTAATAAACGTTGAAAATCTGTACTTGCTTTGGTTGATATTCAGACTACATTTTAGCTCTGACAAAACCCCAAAAAGCTCCTCCTTAGAAACCTAACTACAGCTGAATCTGAAGCATTCTTTTCTTTCTTTTTTCTTTTCTCCATATTCACTCAGACGTCTTTCGTTTTACATCTCCTATGGAAACATTCAAAATGTCTTTTTTTTTTTCAAGAAAAGTTAATGCCATCACAAAATGACAAGAACACACACAGGAGAAAAAAAAGAGGAAACAAGTGAACCAAACAAGGAAAAAAAACAGTATAAAGCTTCAAGTCACAAGTTCAAAAACTATTATTAGTCATAGTGGTCTAATCATTGTAATCATTGTTAGTTTCATCTAAATTACATAAACTTTACAGAAAACGTTTGAGGTATTTCAGAATTAATTGTCAACACCTGCCTGCCAAGACCTGGTGTTTGCCATGGGGTAGAGGATGAGAGGGAAAACAGGTGCATTACTTACTCGTTCTCAGAATGGCCTCCTCAACTCTTAACTGACCCTTCATGACTTTTAGTTTAAATGGAGTCAAAATTTCTCCTAAACTCCTTTTTTAGATGACCACAGAATGATATACTGTAGATGTAGTGGACATGGCCTTAATATTTGGCTTAAAATGCTACAGAAAAAGGTGCAACATTGATAAGTCATTACTTTAAACATTGTAGCACTAGATGCATTAAACCGTAGCTGTATTTTACATTTTTGTCTTTAAACAAAACAACTTCATATTCAGTATATGTGTTAATTGAAATGATAATAAATTATGACTTTTATCATTTATAGGAATTTATAAATGTAAATCAGAGAATTATCTAACTTTAGGACTCACTGTAAACAGACTACTGTGAAGCCACTAATAAATATCAAAATTTGAGAGTTTAAGACATAAAACATCTAATATATTATTTGTTATGTAGTTTTCTGTAGTGCAACATTGGACCCCCTCAAACTAATCAGTTTGCCAAAATTCCCAATTTTGAATGCACATGTTTTTGTCCATCAGTGTTCTCTCATTACAATAGCCATCAAATACATCACACAATTATGGGAATCCCTATTGCGCTAAGAAATTCCAGACTGCTGGCCACTGATCTACGGGCCAATAAAGATATCTGTGCATTAGTTATATAACACTCACTTCAATTGACCCTTTTTTTTCTTTGTTAAATGTATAGTTTAGCCTGCTAGCTAGCCTGCCTTTAAGTATCCACCGTGAAGCACTTGTAGTCTTTTAAAATGTATTTCCACCTTCAAGATACATCATCAGAAGGGGTTTTCCTAGTCTTTGATCTAGAAAATTTCACTATAGAGACTACTGCAGTATTACTGTAAAAGGCAAGTACGCATGTTTACAACAGATGTTGTAGTGGTTACATTTTTCATTTTGGCCAGCGCGTCCCTTTAAACCGAAGAATAATCCCTGAAAACTGCATCAAGCATCAATAGTTCATGACTTATCAGACTTTGCTCCTTTTTCTGAGGCACAAAGGCCACACCTTCTTTTTAAAGGCTCTATATCTCACAAACTAATGATCACGCCTAAAATTTCTCATACTATCAGTTGGGCTCACTGTTTCCTGAAAATATTCAGCAAATGTTAGATGGTCATTTAAGAGATCTTCTGTGATTTCACATGGATTGAACCAATTATGCCATGTGTTTCTTTTTCTTCTTCTTTAATCTAAAACAACTGATTAGCATCAACATTTTGGCTGTCATCTCTTGCTGATCAGTGGCTGTTAATGTTAAAGGTGATTGGCCATATGCAAGAATAGGATGAAGCATCAAGCGTCAAGAGGCACTGAAGGCTCTTGAGTACGCCAGCACAAAAGAGGTGGAGAAAGAATAGACGTTTTTATAGAATGTAATGAACTGAACTCCATTTTAATTATTAAGTAAGATGACTGTAAAATGACCCAATGTAACTTCACTTTCCTTGTAATTCTCTATCAGTACTTTGAAGCAGATGAGATGTTGGCCCACACCTGCAACTAGAACTGTTTTGGCCTTGTGATGTTACTTGCACTTCAAGTCATCCATCCTACTTCTTCTGCATGTAGATTTGGGCTTTGAGGAAACTAATCCAAAGCGCTCAGTTTCTTTGAGCAGTATTCTACTGTGAATTTGTTGAAGAAGCCTTATTTTAGGGTTGATGTACGGCCTCATTTTCTGCTTAACATTGTGTGTTCTGTCTGTACAGTTAGTATGTGGTTCTTGTGCTCAGAGGTAGTTCTTAGTTTGAACCAAACATCATGTCAAGCAAAGATGTATGATATATGTTTTATGATGTCTGGTATAATTTTCTCTTTCTTCCTGACCACCCATCTGGACCAGTTTTGTACAGTCTCTTTCTAGTCTTCAGTTTTGTTAACATTGACTAAAACAAGAGTTTCTGAGAGACATCCTTAGATTACCACGAGCTTGAGTTTGATGAAACAGCCTGCTCTTTGGTGGACTGGCAATAAACATTGATTCTTTGGTCATAGCACATCTGTACTACTGTTAAATAACCAATTTCAAAGACTTTTGAGGTATAAACCAGCTTCTGAGTGCTCTATTGATTTTGGCAAAGTTACTCAACAGCTTTCTTATTAAAATCAATCTAGACCTAATTTCTAATCTTTATGCAACTAAAGTCTTAATACGTAATCCAGTGGCTATTTTTTGGGGGCTGTTTGTTAGATTAGGCCACCCTAATGGGGTGATCCTGGCAAAAAAGTAGCATTTATATCCCCCCCCCCTTAGCCTCGTAGATTTAACAGAATTCACGATTTTGTATGCTTTTTTGTGTTTTTGTCCATTAGTGTTCTCTCACTGCAATACCCAGCACTCATTGCACAAATATGTCAAACAGCCATTGCCATTGTCCATGATGATAAAAAAAAATGCTCTATTGTGCATAATTACAGACATGATATTGCCTTCCTAGCACTAATTAACTTCCTGGCTTCCTTCTGCATTTAGGCCTTAGGATGCTTCCAGTGAAACGAAGCTGCCCCAAAGGGCTTGTAGTTTTTAAAAGTTCCTCCCACCTTCAAGATACATCATTAGAAGTTTTTTTTTCCAGTCTTAAATCAGACAGTCTCACTCCTGGGACTGTTGTGGCACCACTTTAGGAGGTGACTAAGCATGTTTTAAAAGAGGTGATTAAATTTTCATTTTGGCCAGGGTGCCTTTGTAATCTATTGCTAGCACTGATATCCATATTCCCAAATAATAACGCGTAAAAAAGTAAACTGATTTGACTGCATCCGTTAAAAGTTGTTTCTGTAGATAAAGTGCTTAAACTACAGTAAATGTGATTGAATTCACATCTTTCTCCATCTCTCTGTGCACTCATCCTGTGTGTTTTCTAGTGTATGTGTGTACATATGTGCTTGTGTATTCCAGCGTAGTCCCACCCGTGGTTGAAGGAAAAAGGCACTCAACTCTATCTGCATAGCCGCCACCTCCCTCAATATGGCACTATGCAGTCTGACTGCGCTGTCTATAGGTATGTATGCATTCGTATATGTGTGTTGCACGTGAGCTTTGACCATTCCATTCGGTTTAGTTTTGGTTTGGTGTACTTTGCCCCTCCCTTGGCAACACAGGACTGGCAGGCTGAAAAAAATCTTTGGTATCAGTGGCTGTTTCACAAACCACCCAGCTAAAGTGAGGTAGCCACAGTGGTTCTCACTACAAACGAAAGGTCTTTTTTTTTTTTTTGTATCAGGTAATGTACATAAAGATTCCTACTGATTTGCACCAAACATCTCCTCTTGAAATGCTAGGAACTCAATGCTCAGAGCAGGTTGAGTTCAAAAGTCCCTCTGTACATGTAGCTAACCTTTTGCAACGTGTCCAGCGATGCTACTCCGTTGCACCCCTCGAGCTTGAACCCACGCCATTGCTGTGTTGGTGGGGCTCCTGTGTGAAACCTCCATACCGGAGATGAATGCAGAGAACATTTTGAAGAAGGCCTTCTTCTTCTGCCTTAGCATTTTACACTGATGAAGAGGATGCACCATCCATTTGTCTCAACTTTTCTCAAAAGTTCCTTTCTCCATCAGGCGTGGCAGTTCGCATTGTAACGCAGTCTGTGAAGTTCTCCTCATTCCTTCACAAAGTCTTTTCATCTTGACATTGTCAAATCTGTCAACAAGGTGCCTTACATATGCACAACAGGTCACAATAGTAAGAAGAAATAGAAACGTTATGTCTATGGTACCAATTACCCGCATCAATATTACAAAGTTGAAGAGAGGGGGACGAATTGGGTAAGGATGGGGATGGGGATTGGATTTTGAGAGTATGGGGAGAGAGGTAGAGAAATAAAGCTGGACTGGTACAGTCTTTTGTAGCTATAGTTCTACTGGAGTTCTTTTTCATATGATTGATTCTGCAAACTAGGGTTATTTTGTCAAAAAAGTATATTCTTATCTTGTTGATTGCTGACTTCTTTGGCATATATTGCCGATCACAGGGGTAGAGCTAGCTGAAGTTGTGTAGATGCAGTAAGGAGTTTCTAACATCATGTTAAGGCAAATATTATTGGCACTCTTTTTTTTTTTGGTAACGTTCGAATGTCGTAGTTTACCACTTGCTCCATTATTAGGGTAAACTCAACTTGAGATTTGATTTGTCACCAAGAAATGGCTGTAACAAGCCTCCTTACTCAACTGTGAATTTTTTAATAATCAAGCCTTAGCAGTGATTGACTTCTAACTGAATATATCTACTGTTTGTGCGAATGTTCAACATTTGGCTGCTTTATCATCTAATTTTGACATCTTTCTTGGAGTTTAAAAAAAGCAAACAAACTAAACCATTTTAATTTTGCTGAATTTTTGTGAAATGTTGGCTGCCTCTCTCCTAAAAACTGGATTCCGTATAGTGATGCACCCTTATGACCAGCAGGTGGCACTATAGTCCTGTGCATACTGGATGATGGCTGCAAGCTCTTTGTGCATTATATGACTTGGTTGTCATGTGCTGATTATAAATACAGAGACTTATCCAGCACGACACGGACAGGCATGTTAGCGAACCTCCTTGACGCGAGTGGCGTGTTTCGGCTCATTGACAACAGGAGCAAAAGTCCCTCCACAGGCTTCCATCTCCATCTGTGCAAAATAAACTGAGATGGCAGACCTGTGAGAGCTTCGGCGGGGAAAGTGCATTATGTTTCACCTTCAGTGGAGGTCAAGGCGTCTGCATCGATTCGTCTCTTTCATTAGCATAGCGTATGATCTGAGAGGTGCTATGAAACAGCCATTAGGTAATGGCGACAGTGTACTGGAGAAGGACAGTGGAAGAGGTGGCTTTCTTTAGAAAGCCCTGGATAGACAATAAGCCTTCTGTGCTGTATATTGCTGCCCTTTTTTCATGTTTAGCTTTGGCGTACTGTCCACAAACTTGAGAATGGAGGTGCACATATCAGAGTTAACACAGAAGAGTAGCCAGCCAATGCTAAAGGGGCACCACTTGAGTAGGGAGGCTACTTGAGGCTCCAGATCGCCTCAACACACAGGCGTCAATCAACGCCTGTCCCCTGGTGCCAGAGTGTCCAGATTTCTGGCCTGGTTCCTAACAGTCCAGTTGAAGTGAAGAGATTGCATTGATGTGAAACGTTGCCATTGGCGGCAGCGGTGAGATTGATTGGCACGCTAATCTGAGTGGCGTCTGAAGGGATTGGGACCTCATGGCCTCCAGGCTCCCTGGGGGAGCACGACCCTTTCAGGCCTTGGAGAAGGTGGGTGCGGATGTGCCCGGCTGTCCAGGGCTGTGGCCATGCTGGAGGTCGTTGTGCCAGTGGTCAACACAGCGGCGCCGTGCATTCATGAAGAAGTTGCTGACTGTGTTGAGCTCCAGACCCAGCTGCTGCGCGATGGTCACCTGCATCTCCTTGCTGGGCCGCTTGTTCTCCTTGAAGATGGCGATGAGCGTCCGACGCTGCAGGTCAGTGAAGACCAGCCGCTGCTTCTTTGGCACGGAGTTGCGTTCCTTTAGCTGCTCTTGCTCTTTGCGCTTGCAGGCTGGCAGGATGAAGAGAGAAGAGGAGTTAGCTTTTATCAGGCCTGAATTTTGGAACCAAACTGGAACATAGCCAGAGAACATTTAACCAATGTCAGACATGAACTAGACCAGTTCAAACTAGACTGTCACCCTACAAAACTCCTATTCAAACATAATTATAGCCTGACAGAATTTCGTTCAAGCCTGTCTGTAGCCCAACAAAGTTCTGTCCAAACTCAACTTTAGCCTAAGGAATTCTGTTCAAACCCAACGGTAGCCTGACAAAAATTCTGTCCAAACTTGACTGTAGCTTTGTTAAATGTCCTTCGGTTGCACTAAACTGCACTCCCCTGAATCAATTCACTGTTTAACTTACTTGCATACATTTTCACAAACCCATTGGCCTCGTGAACCTCAGCATCAACAACATGACTGACTCCAATGTATTAACTGGAAAAAGGTAATAAAGCTAGTGAGAGAGAATAGAGTAGAGAGAAAACCTAAAGCAAGGGTAAAGGAAGGCCAAAATGTGTTAAAAGTGGCTATGAGAAACCTAAATGTTAAATATGGACCCGAGCCCAACAAATATTTGAGAAATCATGTCAGCACCTGACCAAACCCGAAGCAAATAGTTGGGTCCCCTCGGCAATGGAGAAACATATCAAGCTCTAAGAGAAGTAGACACGATGAAGAAGGAGCGGAGGAGAGGGGAGGGGTAGGGGTTGGCAGAGGGCAAAGGAGGGGAAGTGTGAAGGGGAGGGTGGTAGGAGACAAAGGAAAAACAGCAGAAAACTCATTAGCCCCTTTGTTTGCGCTCCTTACAGCAACATGCCCCATTTCTGCACCAATTCTACAGATTAGCTGCTTACGTTGAGCAGAATTTTTTTGCCCTCTGCTGTTTGGCCGCGGATTAAAAGTGATTTAAGACAAATCCATTGTACCTCCCCAGAGGGCAAAAATCATCCCTTTTAAAAGAGAGCAGACAGGGAGCTGGCCAGCGGTGAGCACTTCAGACTGGTCGTTAGAGACACTGCTGTTTTGATTCAATATTAATGCAGTTTGGGCTCGCAGTGGGAGAGAGAGTGACTGGTGTACAAAAGCAGCAAAAGCAGGCGCTTTTGTGTGCATGTGTATGTGTGTATGCATGTGCGTGAGGGAGGGAGAAAAGCATAAGGGAGATATTGACCCGCGCTGCTTCAGTGTGTGGATGGGGTGGGGGGTTGTCCGTGGGGACTGAAGGCTGGATCTCCCTCCAGCAGGTTATGCAGTCTGTGACTTCAAACGGAGGCCACTGGAGGGCTATCTGACGCACTGAGAGTGAGGGGATATTTATAACTGCCTTTCGCCCCATCCATTCCAACCCCACTGCAACCACACGTACTCTTGCAGTATAAATATAATGGCTCTGCGTTGTAGCGTCACAAGGGAAGGACACGGTAAGAGTAGAGGTACCTATTTGACTATAAGCATGGGGTAAATAGGGCTGCAACTAACAGTTATTTCCATTATCTATGAATCTGTCAGCTCCTACTTGATTAATCAACCATTATGCCCCCTATTGTGCCTAACTATTATGCCTTCTTTGGTTTCCCCACACTCTGCCACCATCACAGCACTGCTATCATTCGAGTTCCATCTGTGCAACAAGCAGTTTCTTTTTTTATGGTGCAATAATACAAAAGTCGTATCATCCCAACACTTCTTGTAGGGTATTTCAGTCAGTCGGAATGACTGTATTTATCATATGTACATTACAGGGTGTATATGAGTATACAGTGCATCAATTTGTCTCTCCATAATGAACGTCCTCAAAGACTAAGCTGCTTTGTCAATCAATCATTTCAGATCTAAGGTTAGAAAGGATTTCTACACACATCCTAAAGAAGCCTGTTTCCAGTGTGAGATAATAAGTCATAATTGTGAAATCCTAACACCTCATGCGATACTAAGTCATAATGAAAAATGTGGTCATAATTATGAGATAGTAGGCCATAATTATGACAAATTTTGTTATTGTGACTTACTAAAAAGCTTTCAATTTTTTGCAGGTGTAATGGGCTTCCATAGGTTTAATATATTTTTCAGTTTCTCATGATAATGACTTAATATCTCATAACAATTAAAAAGGTTCTCATAACTGTATTACCATCTCATAATTATAACTTCTATTTCAGAATAATGACTTAGTATTGCATAAATGAGTTAGTATCTCTCAGCTGTGACTAACTATGAATTTCTCATTGGTTGCCTTGATATGGTGAGATATTAAATCATAACTATGAGATAGTAGCTCATGAGATTTCTTTATATAGAGATATTAGGTAGATATTAGATATTAAGGTAAATAGCTTAACTTTCTTCAATTAGTAGAAAAAGACTTTCATAAGTTTCATATGTGTTAATGCTAATACATTATTATGCGATACTAAGTCATAATGAAATATGAGGTCATAATTATGAGATAGTAGGCCATAATTATAGAAAACTTTGTTATTATGAATGCTTTTTTTTTGCAGGTGAAACAGACTCCCATAGATTTCAGATATTTTTCATTTTCTCTTGATTATGACATAATATTACTCATAATTAGAAATGTTCTCGTAGTTGTATTACCATCTCATAATTATAACTTCTATTTCAAATACTTAGTATTGCATAAATGAGTTAGTATCTCTCATCTGTGACTTACTATGAAATTCACTCATTGATAGCCTTGTTATTGTGAGATATTAAGTCATAATTATGAGATAGTAGCTCATGAGATTCCTTTTCTTAATTATGAGATATTAAGGTAAATAGCTTAATTTTTTCAAGTAGTAGAAAAAGTCTTCCATAAGTTTCTTGTATGTTAATGCTAATGCATTATTATGTGATACTAAGTCATAATGAAATATGAGGTCATAATTATGAGGCCATAATTTATATTATTATGACTTATTAAAAAGCTTTAATTTTTTTGCAGGTGTAATGGGCTTCCATATGTTTTTCATTTTTTCATGATTATGACTTAATATCTCATAACGACTAGAAAGGCTTTCATAATTGATTTACTATCTTGTATGACAGTATTTCATTATTATGACATAGTCCTACATAATAATGAGTTCGTATCTCACCATTCTGAGGTACTAAATTCCTTACAATTATGAAATGCTATCTCATTATGACACGGTATCTCGTCATTGTAAAATATTAAGTCATAATTAGGAGATTTTATCATGTTTCCCACGCTTTTTTGCTCCCGACTGTGTGTGTGTATATATGTGTGTGCGTGTGTGTGGATGGCTGGAGCCAAACTGTGGGTCCGTGTATCTAATTACAGTGAGTTGGAGTGCATTGATCACGTCACCTCTCGCAGTCAAATCAGTTTACCACAGGCGTCTAACCTCCTGGACCACATCCATCATGTTCATATTCCTCATTGGCTTCACCGCTGCACACACACATACACCACCTACCCACTTAAACATTTACAGTCTCTGGAAATGCTACTGCAGTAATCATTTTTGCATTACATTACTTGTTTTTCCCTGTGCTGCTTTCAAAACATGTTTACAAACATGTACAAACATTCAGTGTCATTTTGCTGAAAAATGAAAATACTTGAGCATTTTTCAACCTAATCTCAACCTGCTGCATCTGTATCGTACCATAGATTTCCTTCTAGAAAACAAAACCCGCCTCTGAAAGAACAAATTATATAGATTTACAGTTTAATATATAAGCATAATATAATTCTTTGACTAAAGAATTTACAAACATTCACAACATGCATGTTTTGCCTAAATGTGAATGGATGGAATTCTGCAACTGCCTAAAGCATTCTATTGTAAGTGTGTTCCAAGTCAGTGGTTTTAATGATTTTTTTTGCCTTTTTTATTAAGTACAGTGAAACATGTCAAAATTATAGTTCATGGTAATCGACCATATGCTACAAAAGCAGCAGATAGAAATTAAGCTGAGAAATGCTGTTTATAAATGACAGCCGCTGCACATGTAAGATGCCTGCTTTCAATTTTAGTGTTTCCTGAACTCCAGCACACCTGACTCAACACATCATTTCATTACTGACGCCTTCATGTGGTTTAAAAAAATGCTATATAATATTATACATAATATTTATAATATTATACATATATATATATATATCAAATGTTTGAACAGAGAACACACTTAAATATGGCATATTTTCTGCAGATTTTAGAGCACAGTTTCTATTCATTTACTGAATTTAACATTTTGGAAATAATGCAACATAAAATATAATATGTGCCATAACTTTTGCACAGGCAACATGAACATGTCTGTGGTATAGACATGTGGTACATATCTTGGCATGTACTACCTAATTGTGTAATGTTTCTCTTCCAATAAATGTAATTTATTAATACATTAAAACAATTATTTAATATGTTTAGTAATAAATTATACATGAAACATAAGTATTTAATATTCTTTACTTATTTGTACAATGGATGTGTAAATTCAAGGTCACCTGGCACAAAGTGTTTAAAAAACCCAGATATGATACACTCGTACCAGCACAGCCACTACCAAGTTGGTGTCACTGCTGTGCTGAGATTGGTCCACCACCCTGGTCAGTGGTGGTCCTACAGTGGCAAACTGAGTGGCTCCTTAGTGTAGATATGCAAGTAATTGACATATAATGTGAATATATATGATGTAATAATGTGCTGCTGTGAAATATATGGACATGTATGTCCGTATATCTACACTGTGTAGGTATCAGGATAAGGAAGCACTGCTATAGAACGCGTCTGCGCTGTTATAACGTGCTCTCGCCGGCAGGTGTCGCTGCTGATATTCCCTGGTGTGAGCGAGTGGATTTAGTAATCAATAGTGATCGAGCAGTGGGGAAGGGAGGCCTGATTACTGAGGCAAGCGCGCCAGAGAAAGTAAAAGAGAGAGAAAAATCGATGAGTACAGACTTCAGAGCTGCACACCGAGCTGTACAGGCAAAGAAACTAAACACGGAGAGGAGACGAAATATTTTTATGAC